TTGCCCCTCACTGCCCCGCCCTTCCCCAAATCCCCCCCCCGCACCCCCCCCCCCCGCCAGCCTGGTCACCCACGCAGCCTGCTGTTCGGTTGTTGCATGAGGGCATCCCAACCAATTTGCATATTCCTCTATTATTAGTATAGATAGTTTTTCTGTTGATTCTTTGGAATATTCCAGATAGAAAGTAAAAATTTGAAAGTAGTGTTATTATGGCTATTTTTCAATAATTATATCAGTTTACTTTCTTGGCTTGCTGCTTTGGCTAGACTGAACTTCTGAAAATGTATTAAGTAATAGTGGTAATAGTAAGCATCCTTGTCTTGTTCCAGATTTAGTGGGACTGCCTTTACTGTCTTACATTAGACAAGCTGGTTTGGGGTAGATGTTCTTAGAGATTGCATTTGTCATGTAAAACAAATATTCTTTCTTCTCCATTTTAACTGAGAGGGGATATAGTCATATATATATATATATCCTCATTAACTTTGGGGAGATAAGAACATTGAGTATCCTGGCATGTGTTGCCTGATGTAAACACAAAGTCATATCTCTTCTTTTCAACTTTGAATGCATTCCTCTGTGGGTTCAAGGTTCAGAAGAGCCAGGTGACCTAAATGGCCTAATCTTTGCAACTCATTAGGTTGCAACATGGATTCTCTTAACCAAAGCTTTTGAGCTGGTCTCAGGATACGGGCTCTGAGAGATTTCTGTTCATGGCACAGACATCTCTTGTGAAGCTGAGTTTCTCATGCATGCTTGAAGTTTTTACAGAAACATTTTTGGATTACATGAAAATGAAGTGTGGTGCTTGTGTTAGGAGAGCGGAGTTAAATGAGGTATTGGCAAAGCAGGAAGGAAAGGCCACAGAATCACTCCAGCAAAGAGAAGTTAGGACAAGTGAACTGGGAATTTCCCTAAAGTTGAAAAGCAAGTGCTGTTCTCTGTCCTAATTATCAATGTCAACTTTAAGTGTGAAAATGAATACAATCCAATCTTCAAATTCTACCTCTCTGCTAAGAAGAAAATGGTCTTATCCGAAATGTAAGTAGAGGTGAGGAATACTTCATGGTAGCACTTAGTCTAATTGCAACCCTTACATGAGTGTTACCATTGCTGATGGTGGTTTTGACATGCAAAATATTGGATTTTTGTTTGTTTTACTGGACTGATGCCTGAGATTTGTTAGAATTAAATGGTGATGTGCAGGTTACAGTTTACCCACCAGCGCCTCAGAGTCCTGAATGGCTTATGATCTCAGACTTAAAGATCAAAGTAACCAGTACCTATTCTCAGTGATCATTGTTCTCTTTGCAATAACTTCTAACATACATGAATCAAAGATTTGTGTAGCTTTGAAATTTTAAGAATTCTTTTCAAATTTAAAAACATGAATTTTATTTCAAAAGGCCCCAGTGAATACATTTTTGAATCTTATTCCAAGATAAGTACCAATTTAAAATATACCTTACTCCTTTAACCTTCAAAAGTATGCTGATCTAACAAAGAACTAATGGTCAAATCCCCATCTTCCCAGCATCTGTTACATGGACAGTTTTAAAAATTCTTAGGAAAGAAAAATGTGAACTTACCCCTCAAAGAGTAATAATTTCTCATAATGAGTCAAAACACACACACATACCCAGTATGTGGCCATTTCCAATTAGTCCCCTCTGTGCTTCTTTGCACTTTAAGTGGGAACTTTTAAAATTAAAAGCTTCCAAGGGTATTCACGGATATATTTTTTTTTTCCTGTGGAATCCTTCCAAATCTTGGCAGTTACTTCCTGTGATGTGGCCAAAGTTTTCACAGGCAGATACCGTAACTCAAAATGTTTTTTTAATCTAGTTGGTAATCCTCTGGGCTTTAGAGTATCTATGTTTCCTTAACCATTCCAGCTTCCTGTTAGCAACTATTAAACACATGAATTTCAGCTTAATGGATGGCCTTCCTGCTATCATACAAAGAAATAACAGTTACGAGACTAACTTTACCACCTACATACTCTAAATATATTAACTGCTATTCCTGGGCATCATACTATAAAAAGGTTATTTACCAAAAGTCTACAAGTGGTCGCGTTTTATTTTTATGTCTTCATATATGTAATGTAGCTTAAGTAATTTCTGGCTTGAGACTCAAGTAAAAGATACTACCGGGTTTATATAGATTCTTAACTTCTCATGAATTCTGAGAGAGCGTGAGATTCAGCACAGGAATGCAGAGTCTTGTGAATTTATGCACTGAATTCTTATTCAGAAATGCTATCCAAAACCCAGCAACAAACCCCATTTCCGAAAGCAGGGGGTGCCTGTTGCTTCTGTGCTTTATTCTTTTGTGTATAAATTCCCAGGCCCTACCACTGGGAAGTGTAGACAAGCCTAGCTGATGTGCCAAGGCTGGCCTTTGGAGGTCGCGGAGAAAAAGGACAGCGATAGCAAGAGGGTAGAATTCGGTCAAGCCTTTTGTGTTGAGAGGTACTTCCAACCAAAGTGCAGACAACATGGAGGCCTTCCCTCTCCCTCTCTGCCCCACAGGCCGCCTTGACCATCCAGGACAGCCACATCGAGATCCACAGGCTGCTTCTCCAGCCGCAGGACAGCTCCTCCCCGGGCCCCTCCTTCCGAGGCAGCCCCTTCCAGGACCCGGACAAGCACCGCAGCCTGGAGAAGCAGCGAGAGGAGCTGGCCGACATCCCCAAGCTGCAGCGCCAGTTCCAGCAGGACCAGCGGCGCTGGCAGCGCAGGTGCGACCAGCAGCGGCGGGAGCAGGAGGCCCGGGAGAGCTGGCTGCAGGAGCGCGAGCGGGAGTGCCAGTCGCAGGAGGAGCAGCTGCGCAGGAGCCGCGGGGAGCTGGACCTGCAGCTGCAGGAGTACCTGCAGAACCTGGAGCAGCTGAGGGTGGGCCAGCGCCTGGTGGAGAGGGAGAGGGGCAGGATGCGCGCCCAGCAGAGCCTGCTGGGCGGCTGGAAGCACAGCCGGCAGAGCAGCCTTCCCGCGGCCTTCTCTCCAGGAAGCCAGGAGGTACGGATGGGTCTTCAGTGCTTGCCCAGGCGGCATGGGGGGCAGCTGTGCAGGGACAGGCTCACTCACCGTCCTGTCTCTTTGCTTCTTGTGTAAGCACTCACGAGAGTTATTCAATTTGCAGAAGCTTGGAACTTTCCCAGATAGTGCACATGCGTCTTGATTTGAAATATGGAAATGTGAAAGGCCTTGGTCCTGTGGGATCCTGGGCTCATTGTAGGTTGAGACGCCCTTACCCAAGGGAATGAACACAGAATCGCGCTGTCCCAGCAAGAGGAGGCTTGTCCTGGAGGCACCCCACCTTGAGCATGCTGATTTCCGTAGGGGAGGCCCCTCTTCATATGGTCTGGTCTTAGCCTTGTATACAGGTTTACCTGTTAGTAGGTCAGTTAGCTGTTCATGTGCAGTATAGGTCCTGAATTTAGCAAGTATAACACTGTTCTGTTATTCCTTGCTTATGCTCCTTTTGTCATGTTGACAGAGTAAATTCAAAATCCCTTTCACTAGGAATGGGTCACAGGAGTCTACTAGCTAATGACTGGGCAGAATGAAACCTTTCCGAGGACTCTGTGTTCCACTTGCACCCTCTCTAACCGTGCTCGGCAATTCATTTGTCCCACGAGTTTGCTTTTCTGTGCTATGAGCAAATCCATGCTATTTTTTTATTGATAGTATGTAATGCTGTAAAAGTTGATACGCTTATAAGAGAGTTCTGCTGCATCTGACTTTCCTTTCAAGTAGGCTAAATTACATTTATTGCAAATACATGTGTGCATGGATATGTTTTCAGCTTTTTTATTTAACAAAAGTTAAAATGCTGCTCTCTCTTAAAATAAAGTGGAACATTTGAATGGCAGAGAGCACTACTGCTTATGTGTGTTTTTAAGCCTCATCTTATTGATTTGAGGGAGAGAGAGGGGAGAGAGAGAAACATTGATGTGAGAGAGAAACTTCAATGCATTGTCCCCAGTGTGCAGCCCGATTGGAGATGGAACCCACAACCTAGGTATGTGCCCTGACCTGGAATCAAATCTGGCAACCTTTTGTACAGAATGATGCTCCAACCAACGAAGCCACCGGCCAGGGCTGGGGTTTTTTTGTTTGTCTGTTTTGTTTTTTTAAAGATATGCTGGGCATAATGAATTAAAGTTTTTGGTACTAGCTCATTAAAGAAGGCCTGGAAGGAAGGAGTCAAGAGTAATGTTCTTGATTCACTCTTATTAAAATGTTGCCTGCTAAATTCTACTAGGAATAAATACTTGATAAAACTTGTTCAAATGCCTGGAGAAATTATTGGTTGTTTTTCTTTTTATTTTCTTACACAGGTAATGGAACTTAATCGATCTGAGAGTTTACATTATGAAAATTCACTCTTCATCAACGATGCTTTAGTACAAATGTCATGTAACACTTTCGACAAATCAACTCCACCAGCCATCCACCAGGACGCCACTTGCCCCCCCAGTATATCTAACTCTGACTCGGAAAGGACTAGTGAAAATCAAGTAGACCTCAAGACAGGTGTTTCTCAGTCCACGGGTGAAAACCATGAACTATGGACAGCCGCTGAGTCCTGTCAGCAGACAGCCCCCCTCCACCAAAGCAGCGAGGATTCTTGTCAAAATGGTAATTAACACTTTAAGCATCATCTGTATAGTTTCAACAAGAAGCTGTGCCTCTCAATGGTTGGCTCTTCTTTAAAGCAAATCAAAGTGTGGGGGGGCCTAGAATGGGAATAAATTGGTGCAGATGAGCTGGAGTTTGTGGCATAAACTTTTCTTTGGGGAAGTCTGGGGACTGCCACTACTTGTGAGTAACAAGACAAGCTAGACCAGTGGTCGGCAAACTGTGGCTCGCGAGCCACATGCGGCTCTTTGGCCCCTTGAGTGTGGCTCTTCCACAAAATACCAAGTGCGGGCACGCACGTACAGTGCAATTGAAACTTCGTGGCCCATGCGCAGAAGTCGGTATTTTGTGGGAGAGCCACACTCAAGGGGCCAAAGAACCGCATGTGGCTGGCGAGCCGCAGTTTGCCAGCCACTGAGCTAGACCATGTTTGGAGGGCTTACAGGATGCCAGCAAGATGCTAGGACCAGACAGGGTTTTCAGGCCTGTGGGTTAAATGATAACTTTCTCTTTCTCTTAAAAGTGAAGCAACTTGATATCTATTCCTCACTGTAGATCCTATCACATCCAGATACTCATACTTGTTGACTCTCAGAAATAAAAGATATGGACAGGGTTTGTGGTAGGACTTTCTTGTCTATCAGGGCAATTTCCTGTAACGTTAGTGAAACCTGTATTGCTATTAAACGTCCAACATGAAACTGGTAACATCATTTGTCATTGTAAAAAAAAAAAAAGTGTTGTGTCTCCATAAGTACCTCATAATAACACAATTTGCTAATCCCATTAAAGCATTTGCCAAATATCAGTGAAAGGCAGCTCGAGTTACCAACTCCACATGAATCCAAAAGATTTAAATCTAAGTGTGTTATAAATTGTTTTCCGTGGGATATGAGGTAGGGAATGAGAAGAACTTGAAACCTCTCTACCAAAAAACAGATGGCATGCAATAGAATAAACAAATGGTTGGCCACATGGATGTGAACTAAATCACTGACAGCAAAATGTTTCAGAAACATAAAACAAGCAGCCGTACAGAACTTCAGAACTGGGCACAGGCTTGTTTCCATGCTTGTTACAGATTCTAAGTTTGTCAGTAGGATAACTTTTTAGCACTGGAAAGTTTTAAATCTTCTTTGAATTGTTATTATTATTAATTTGAATTATTAATCCAAAAGATGTTGATTTGTAGCAGTGGATCATTCTTTATAGTCACTGCTATAACATTCTTATTTCTTGCCAGCATATAGGAGAGAGTTAAATATTGCTTTAAAATAATCATTTCAAATATTTTTTAAATAAAAAATATACAACGGAATATTCATTGGGATGAAATAAAATGAAGAGTCAGGAAGCATTTATAAAATGTAACCACTTTAATATATTACTTTGTACCTTGAGGGTGATGGTGACCACACTGCAGAATGCCTTTTCTAGGTACATGTTGCCTTGCCGCTCTGACGCATTAACTTGCTGTGTCCAGTGCCTCAGATGTTCTTGTTGGTGGGGTTTTGCATACTGGCTGTGGCCTAATTCAAAAACTCAGTTTGAGTTAAACCACATTCAGCTTTTGTTTAAAAAGAAGAATTTCTCTCCTGCTTTTTGTGTATCTCCCATCTTTCTCTATGGCTTGTGCTTCAAACTAGAAAGCTTTAAACATTTGGCAGCACACTTGCAGGAGATAGAAAATGTACTAAGGAAATAAACAGTGATTATATACAAAACCAGGCCTCCACATGCTCGGAATTAGACGCAGCCAAGGGAAATGCTAAGAAAAAGTACTTCTGCTTCAGATATTGTGTGCCATGTAGGCCAAGGACACTCAGGCCATTGACAGAGGAGAAGAAAATCAACTTTGGCCTAAATCTCTTGGAACATCCTGGTGTGTAAGCAGGGATTAGGTCAGAAATGCAGTGTGTGCTGTTAAGCATGGAGTTTTGCAACTAGTTGAAAAACCCCTATTTATATTTGTTTACTTAAGCGTGATAAGCAGTTCCTGGAGCAGAGAAAAGAAAGTCAGAGATAAGGGGGTGATAGGGAAGTGGAATGAAAATTGGATATATGTTCTTCAGAGGCTTGTCAGGCCAGATAAAATTGTTCGAACCTCGCCAGAGCCTTCCCAGCTCATATAATTGAAAGTAGCACAAAATAATCCCCTGATGTCGGTCTTCGCGACCCTGCAGTGCTCTCCCTGCATCGTCGTGGGGGCGGCGCTGGGTTGGGAGGAGCAGGCTCAGGGTGTGCCGGTGGAGGGGACAGTCCCTGTGCTGGCATCAAGGACAGCGCAGTGCCACTGTCCCTACTTTCACACCTGGCCGCTGAGTCTTTGGGTGAGGGGTCCCCACTCCTGAGACCCAGAGCTCACCGTGTTCAGGCTAACAAAATCTGTCTCTCATGTTCCTGTCGGTGTTTTTGTTAAACGTGCATTTAAGCATGATCCGATTAACGCTGCACTGAAGATCTCATCTGTAGGCCGGCCCTACGGTCAGCTGTCTTCAGGCAACGCCTTACGGACTGGCTTGCTCTACTGTCTGGTCCAGCACTCGGTGCGCATGACCAGCTCAGATCAGTGGAGATGTGAATTTCTGGAACAGGATAAGCCGAATGGAAAAGTTTGCCTGTAAATAAAATTCTCAAATGTGTTTAGCTGTCACCTACACTGGAGTTTTCATTGGTTTGTTCAACCCAGCCTCGCCAGGCGTCTCACTGTGCTCCGCGTGCTCTGGTTGTGATTGGCTTCTGAATTGCTCTGTCACCACCACCACCAACAGGTGACACCAACTTTCAAGCACCACGCTAAGGTTTCGCCTGGAGAGACTTATTTACCACGCAGTCCGCTGAGATGGTTCTGTGGTCATCTCCATTTGAGAGGGGAAACTGAGGTACAGGGAGGGTCAGTGACTTGTCCAAGGTCACACAGCTTGTAAGTAGCAGAGCCAGAGATGAACCTGGGGAAGACGGGCTCTGGAGCCCATGCTCTTAATCATTACCCTGTAAACTGTTGATTTCTAGAAGTCGGTTTGGAATTAGACATTTTAGAGAAGTTGGAGTAGAAATAGAAGAAATCGGGTTGTAATGCCTAGCAGGATGTCCGAGATTAAGAGCTGGGGGTGGTTGTTTTCTTTCTCTCCCTCCCTTTAATATTAGCATTTGGAAAATCTTTCTAAGTCTTTGGGATTGCCGTGGGCAATGCTTGCATGGGTTCTGAGCACCTTCAGACACCATAAATACTGTTAGCTTCACTCTGCCCGAAGACACCTTTTCGAAGGATAGTTTCTGTAATGATGCCTTATGATGCCCCATGTTACTTGTATATTTTTTTAAATTAAATCTTTATGGTTCAGATTATTACAGTTGTTCCTCTTTTTTCCCCCCATAGCTTCCCTTGTATATATTTTTTTGAGGTAGCACTTGAGAAAACTTTACTTTGCAGTTTTGGAAGCTGTTTCATGAACAAAATTCTTGGATGTTTGACTATGATATCCAAATTGGAATTTGGTTTTATTTATAGAGGAAGGGACGGTTAGTTTAAGAACTTAATCTGCACTCCTTGGAGGGACACTAGCCACGAGTACAGAAAATGTGAAATTTTTAAACAACGTAGTCCCTGTGGGACAATTGCTATGTAATTGGCCCCATGAAATGCTCAACTGCATTACTCTTCTTTAAGGCAAAACAAACAAAGAAACACTTTATTCCTATGAGGTTTTTTTTTTCCCTTCTCGCTTTAGAATTCTAGAACTATTTACTCAATGCATCTGTTAGTTTATGATGTTTGCCTTTTTCATTGATCAACAGAGAAAACATTCATGGTATGAAAATTAATCTGAAATCTTCTTATTCCCCATTTTCAGTTATATTTTTATCTGTACCTCAATTTTTGCAGGCTACCTGAAATGTCTCTCTTCAATGTAAAGCATTATGGTTTTGCCATGCATATGAAAAAATTTAAATCAAGAGCCAAAGTTTATGAGTCATGTAGATATTGGAAAAAGATAATAACTTTATGTTTGAATTCCAAAAGAGTGTTTCCCTTTGCTTCATATTAGAATTTGGTGCCCATCAAAATATTTTCAGAATTCAAAGCATTGTATTCAGAATATTTCATCTTGGCAATGCTTTTTAAAAAAATACAGACAGCTGTGTTGAACTCTAAAGGACTTTTTTTAACATATGGAAAGAAAATAGAAAATTTCCCAATAAAAAGCCATGTTATAGTTAGCATTTAAGTAAGTCTTTAAGAAGTGAGTATATGATAATTTCTAATGTTTTGCAAATATTCCATAATTCAGAAATGGCACCGTATTTATGTGGAAAGGAGCTTTGCCAAAGACCTTTAGGCAATTTCCCATAAAACTGAAACTGGCATTCGGTACTGTCAGCTTCAGTGACAAAGGTGTATTTGACAAGAAGGCGGTATGAGTTTGCTGGGGCTGCCATAATAATGTACCACAGACTGGGATGCTTAAACAACAGAAATGTATTTCTGCACCGTTCTGGAGGCTGGAAGTCTGAGACTGAGGTTTTCTTCTCTCTGACTTCAATGGTCTTTCCCATGCATGTCTGTCCTAATTGCATCTTCTTCTAAGAATACCAGGCCTGTTGGATTGGGGCCTTCTCTAATGAGGTCATGCGGGTTAGGATTTCCATATATGAATTGGGGAGTGGGGGCACACTTTAACCCTTAACATAGGATAAAATGATTATACATTTTTTTCATTGCAATATTTTTAGTTGTCATGAAGGCTTTGATTATTTATAAATATACCAAAGTTGAACTATAATTTACCTACCTTGTGAGCTTTTTTTACTTGGTTAGAAAAGTGAGTTGAACTTTATTTTTCAAAAATGGCATAACAGTGAAATTGTGATAAACATATGTCTATATGTTTATAGACATAGGTGTCTGTTATCAAGCCTATGTCAACTCATAGGAATTAGGGCAGCAAGTATGGAATGTGTAGATTCATTCAGCCACATTTCCAAACCAAGGCCTTCATTAGAGCTTTGGGAATTTTGAGCTCTCTTTATGATCAGGAAGGATATTAGATGCCTTTATATTGGATTGCTTAAATGAAACCAGAGCTGAAGGGTTGGAAACATTCGTTATGACAACAAATTATTATTTAGATATATTTATGGGAGTTTGTAGAAGTCAAAATTGGGAAATCATTGGGCAACTCTTTATCTTCTACAATCTTGACTAAAACTTTGGGTAACATTTTAAAGGAAACCATAATATTGCTAGCTCTCAGTAATCTACATCTTGACAAGAGTATAATGGATTGGGCTCAAAGGCTTACTTTTAATCTTTCTCACTGATAGTGTAGATGACTGACTTTCTCCTTTTGCAGATTTTGTACCAGGAAAGGGAAACATGCCATTTGCTTGTAGAGCCTGGTGAGCCACTGGTGCTGCCTGCCAACTTCCTGATTGCATAGTTCTCTGGGGGCAGATTGACTGTGTGAGCCAACTGGGCCAGGGCCATCCCGCCTAGTGCACAGAGCCCAGGACACAGCGGGAGAGCAAACCAGCAGGTGGGTGGATTCAGAGGCAGCCAGCCAGCCATGTGGCTGCCTGTTCCTCCCCACCCTGGGCTCCGGTTTGGTTTGAACAAGCTGCTGAAGTGGGAGTCCACTGAGTACAAAAGAGTCCAGAGGTTAGGCCTGGCTTTGGGTTATCCTTAGCTTAAAACACACACACTTACATACTTGTACATAGACACACATATATGCCATCTATGGGCCACATATTAGACTGCTCTACTACAGTGTGGCTTTTATTCTCAAAGTGATTTAAGGGTTGGGTCTGGAAGGGAGGTTTGTAACTATTTACATACCAAACATACCTAAAGGATAAGGCATGCTCCTGTCAGTCTCAATGACTCGTGGGATAGTGATCCAAAACTGGTAAAGGAAGCATCACCCTGTCCATGGATCAAAATCTGGGGACTGTCTCCTTCCTCACCCTTTGTCCACCCAACCATGGAGATTCTATTTTTAGGGCTTGATTAAAATGTGGAGTGTTCAGCTGAGGACTGTTATTTTATATTTCCCTATGAAGAATGTGACCATCTGGTTCAGAGAGTGGCAAACTTTTTCTTAAAGGACCGCAATGTGAATATTTTAGTCTTTTGGGGCCATAAAGTCTTTCCTGCATATAGTCAACTCTGCCATGTAGCTCGAAAGCAACCATGGACAATGCGTAAAGAATGCAATTATCTGTGTTCCGGTAAAACTTTATTGATTGAAACAGGTGGTCTAACTTTGTTTTTCTCCACTTAAATTGAGGAGGTTATAGTCCTCCTGGTTTGGGCAGCACCTCTTATTAGCACTTACTGTAATTGGAATTAATTGCATGTGTAATAATTTACGTAATGTCTGTCTGCCCCACAATACAATCAGCTATGAGGGTAGAAAACTCCGTGTGTCTTCTTTAATTGCTCCATCACAAGCACCAAGCACAGTGTTTGGCATGTAATGAACATTTGATAAATATTTAGGACATGAATGAAGGATAAGGTTTGCACACTTTGCAGAAATGAAAGCAACTATGAGCTTGTGCCACACAGCTTGACTTTACTGAGGCATTGAAAGAGGTCAAGAAAAGCTAGTAGAGCTATGCGGTGTGATGGTGGTTCATACGGGCCAGCTAGACAAGTGCCTCAAGTTAGCTCACTGAATCAAGTGAGTTTCAAACTTTTGTAAGATGAGTATATGTTTATTTTTGACATGCTATATTATTTTATATTAGTTTCAGGTGTACAGAATAGGGGTCAGATAGTTATATAATTTATGAAGTGATCCCCCTGATAATTCTAATACACCCCTGACACCATATATAGTATTCCCTATGCTGTGCTTTACAACTGTGACTATTCTATAACTGCCAATTTGTACTTCTTAATCCCTTCACCTTTTTCACCCAGTCCTCCAATGCCCTCCCATCTGGAATCCCTCAGTTTGTGTTCTCTCTCTCTCTCTCTCTGTCTCCCTCTCTCTCGTTTGTTTCTGTTTTGTTTCTTTATTTTGTTCTTTAGGTTCCACATATCAGTGAAATCATATGGTATTTGTCTTTCTCTGTGTGACTTATTTCACTTAGCCTAATACTAGATGGCATTCTTAAAATGTCTGGGTAACTGCAAGATTTCTTGCCTTTAATATCTTTTTGGATTCTAGGTAGCAGACTTTAACAATTACCAACTCTTCCTCATTACTGTGGAAATAACTGTTTACTGATGTCCAGTCCTGTTGATCACTTTGGGATTGGCACTCTGTACCACTCTAGAGAGGATCTTTTTATATGAGTTATTTTTTCATTTAGATAATCATGTGTATAGTCCCATATGGCTATGCGTATCAAATAAAAATGTAGTGTTCTTCACAAAATGCTTTAATTTATTCTAAGCAAGTAGAAATGCATCCATTGCTGTCATTTTAGGAGGATAGCACATAAAAAATTTAGCATTTAATTCTTGTATTAATAACTATTAGTCAGCTTATCTGTTCACTGTGGTATTTCTTTTTTAACCATAAAGTAGCTCCAGCACCAGTAAATAAAATATGCGTCGCTAGCTCAGCATCAATGAAACACTTTTGTAAACCCTTTTTCTCTTGCTAAATCCCATTTAACAGTCCAGTGTATCTCCCCAGGCAAACCGGTTAGTATTTGTTTAGGTAAATACACTTCTATAGTGGGAACCAGTTTCCCTGGTAGACCTTCTACTTGTCAGCTTTCAAATATGGCCTGAAATATCACACTTTTTAAAAATAGCAATCTTAAAATTAAGTCTAGTGGCATCTTAAGAAATAGATCCCTTTGCTTCACCCCAGACGAACTGAAAGGCACTTATGTGCTCTTGGCTGGTCAATTCCCAGACACAGCTGGCTGAGGGGAGAAGTCTTGGCTGTTCTTCTGCTCAGACCTCGAGCCAGATAATAAATAAGCTTGGGCCTGCGTTTTGATCTGCAGAGATGTTACGTTGCCATGATCAATCACTGCTGAGTTTCCTTGGATAGGGGGCCAGGTATCCATTCTCTTTCTGGATGAGATATTAATTCAATTTAATTTGATATGTTAATGCTCGGTTTGAAAGTTTACCTAAGGAAAAATGTAGTCTTACGAGGTTTCCAGTTATGCCGATAGGACTCTGAGCCTTTTGCTGAACAATTTCACAGTGAGGCTGTGCAAAGTGATTTTCATGGGGACGCCCTTCCACAGTTCTCTCTGTGCAGCTTTCATTACACTCCAGCCCTTTCTTCCCGCAGCAAAACATGCAGAATGTTTGGTTTAAATATGGAGTTTTTGGATCCTCCACCAGAAACACAGGAGACGTGCTTCTCCTGGGAGGTGAGGCCATTTTGGAAGGAATGGTGCTCTAAGGCTTTGGAAGCAACATTTACAAGCAAAACATTGGCAGAGTTCGTTTTTATTTAATGACCTGCTTCCTACCAGTGAGCTTGGCATCCTGTGCAGTGATTTGCAATCAATTAATCATACAGAATGTTGTAACGCCGCAAGAAGGGCATTGCACTCTGAGACTCATAAATCCACCAGCAATGAAAACAGGAATTGCATGCTCAAAGCCCTCTTCATGTGAAACCCAGAATAAGAAGGTGGTTTTAACACTAAGGTGTCTTCGGAAGCCTTGGTCCGTTCTTGTAGATTCTGAATTTTGAAGCTCCTGTTTCTCATGGATGGTGTGGCCTTCTCATGGGATCTCAGAATAGGAGTCTGTACATGTTTGCCTCATTCACACTAGACCCTGGTCATGTAGATGAGAGAATTCTGGATTCTTCTGGATTACTGAGAGAAGGCTATGGTTTTGGTTCCCCACTCCCCCACTTTTAGGGCAGTCATGCTCAATAGAGGTAGGCCATGTTTTTGGATGTCTTTGTAGGAATGATTCAGGAAGGCAGCATGTTCCCCTCTGGGGAAAAACTTACATTTGCTAGAGGCAGATGGCAGAAGATGGGCTGGTGTGATATTAGCAGTCAAGGAGGTTTCGCATACTTGGCTTTGCCAAAAGCTTCTGGAATCTGCGTGTTTAGGATCTCAGGCTTGTATTCTTGTCATTTCAGATGTGCCCTTAAAGTTAACTGTTAAGCTATGCTGGACTTTTTTCTCTTATTTTAGCATAGTAAATATGGGGCTATTGCATATTCTTAAAATTGTATAAGCTTAAGTAGCTTAAGTGTACGTATATTGTGTTGTCTTTACTCGATTCCATATGGTTCTATTTGGAGGATGTTCTTAAGGATATGGAAGCTTGATGTATATTCCATTTGATTACAATGGAACCTTCTTTTAAGAAACTAAAGGTTTTCAAAGCTAGTATTACTTCCAATGAATAGGTTAAACGTCTGACTCTTGATGAATTTATTCCTACCAAAGTTGTGCTATTTTTGATTACTTGTTCATTTAGCCAGATTTGCATGACATTATACACAAGTAGAACTCATCCTATATTTTTAGATGCTTGATGCTTCTGTTCAGCATGAGCTCTAAAATACATTCACCAAGTTTTGCATATGCAGACCACTTTTCATGGGCACATCCATGGGTGGGAGGAAGCACAAGGAACAATTTTGGCCAAAATATGGTGGTCTGTTGGTCTGTGTGTAGTCATGAGATCGTATTTTGCATTCAGGCTCCAGTGTGAAGAAGTGCAGTTGCACACGGATATCTCCCTGGGGACCATGCACTGGATCACACCCCCCCTTGGAAGGAGACCGCAGCAACACTGCAAGGGGTCAGGTGTTTAGCTTTCTCTTAAGGTACTCAACTACCTACATAGATTTAAAAAATATTAAAGTTATTTTATGCTGAACAAGCAGCCTGAGGTAAAGTATTGTGAAGGATCAAATACTAAATGCGTCTTTTATGAGCTCCCTCTGCTCTGAGAGGCCTTAACAAACATGGGGGGTATGGTGGGAGAGGCTGAATCTGAACTGTGTAAGCCTAGAAGCAAAGGAAGTACTGGGGAAAATCACATTCAAATTATCCTACTCAAAGAAGTTATCATTGCTCCTGGTAAGAATATGGAAGATATTTGCAAATGCTCCTGCCAGTAAATTAAAATATTTCCTCTTTGTATTCATCATATAAGAGACGTAGATATATTGATATACAGAGATATAGCAGATGTGTTTGACAGATTCAATCTCTTGCCTATTGCAGTACTTAAGATATTCAGTTACTCACCCACACACACCTGGACACACCCACCTACCCACATAGAGACAGAATTAAATGTTTATTTTTATAAATCAAAGTGGGCTTAAAGGCAAAATATTTATTTTCTGAAAAAATGTATAGTATTTCTATAAATATATAGTTCTACAAATTTATAGCACTATGGTAATGGTTATTGGGGATGATTTTCATTTTTTTAAAAAGATGATTATTTTCAAGGTGGTTTTTTTTTTTTAAGAGACCATTGGCTAACTTTGAGAACATGATTTAAGAAAATTCAGAAAACGTATTTCATGAAAGGCTTGATTAAATAACTGAATCAAGACTATCCCAGAAAATCCACTAGGATTGAAACCTGCTTGGCAAATATTATTTTTGACCAAAATGACCAAGACTAGACATGTTTCTGTGAGGAAAGTAGGTGATGTGATATTTCCCTGTCATTCAAAGGTGAGAAGATAAAGAATCCACCTTCTCCCACCTCTTCAACCAAGTTTCATAAAAAATAGACTAAAAACATACTTTTCCAGTATAATGACCTTTACATGAATTATCAGTACTTCACTTTTCAGTGAGAGATTTGAACGAATGAATACGTGAATGGATGAACAAATAAATGCATGAAAGAATGCAGTTGATTAATAGAACAATGAAGATGGTTGACTGGCATAATGATTAATACAGAGGGCTTGGAGATTATGTCTGGGTTCATATTCTAGCTCTGCCATTTGCTACCTGTGAAATTTCAAACAAGTGTTTACACTTACTTAGTGTGTCTGTTTTCTTATCTACAAAATTGGATTTCTGGTAGTGCCTGCTCTGTAGGTGGTAGGAGAATTACATAATACAAAACATAAAATACTTAGAATTTTGGGAGTACTCAATAGACATGGTTGTTATCAATGTTACTTCTATACTTTGTATTAAGAAAAGGGGTAATTCAGTAGGCGGTGCATGGGTCACTTGAGCCACTGGACTGCTCCCCAAATGGTTGCTGTGGTGAGCTGAAAGACTCTGTCTCATTCGGATATTTTCCAAGAAGGCATGTCTCAAAAAATGTTCCATAACTCTGCTGGCTCTTACTAGGTTTTATATGATAAAAAGTTCCCATAGTCAGGTAATATTGAGAAATGCTGGTTTGGGGACTACACAACTTTTTTAGAACCTTTATTGAGCTCGTGTGTACTGTGAATCTCCAGAAGTGGCACTTCCCAATCCCATTTAGCCACAGCAGCTTCCTCTCCAGCCCAGCATCTTGCAGGGTGACTATTTCTTGAAATAGACTGGGAAAAACATTGACGTAAATAGATGTTGAAATAAATTCATTGCCTGTGGCACATCCTTCAAATACATTTGTTTTCTCCCTTGGGAACAGTTGAAATCTAAATGACATATCCCAACACAATTTACCACATGGGTTGTCTTTTGAAAACTAAATTCAACATGATGAGTTTAAGATAGAGCTCTGTTTGCCTGGCCAGTGTTACTCAGTGGTTGAGCGTTGACCCATGAACCAAGAGGTTTGATTCCCAGTCAGGGCACATGCCCAGGTTGCGGGTTCGATCTCCAATGGGGAGCGTGCAGGAGGCAGCAGGTCGTTATTTCTATCTCATCAATGTTTCTATCTCTCTATCCCTCTCCTTTTCTCTCTCTCTAAAATCAATAAAAACATTTTTAAAAGATAGAAAAAAAAGATAGAGCTTTGTTTGGCCCCCAGGCTAGCATTTGGGTCTATGGATAAGGGTTCATGGACAGTCGCCTAGAGGTCTGATCTGGCCTCCAATCTCTCAGCCTTAGTCTCACACTATTCTGCCCATTCTTACCCTGTGGTCCAGCCATCTGAAGTTCTCTCACTCATGCAAAAGGGCAGCCCCCCTACATATATTTCCTCTGTTGGGAATATCCTCTCCTCCATTCTTTATTCCAAAGCTGGCTAACTCTTACTCATCTTTCAAGACTTAGCTCCAGGTCACTTTGTTCTGGACTCTCTCCAGAGCCTCTCAGTCTGGGACAGGAGCCTCTCCTGTGTGATCCTGAAGTGCCGAAGACCCTTTATTACTTTCCACCATATTTTGTCACTTTTCCCCTTTAGACTCCAAGATGTTTTTTATAATTTGATTGAGATGAAATTTGCATACAGTGAAATGCTCAGCTATTAACTCTATTGTTCAGTCAGTTTTTTGGAAAGAATATCAGGGCACAGAATGTTTTCATCACTCCCGAAAGCCCCCTTACACCTCCCTCCAACCAGTCCCCATCCAGAAGCAAATACCCATCTGCTTTCCATCACCACAGGTTAATTTTGCTTATTCTCGAGTGGCATGGAATCAACACTATGTACTTTTTTGCGTCTAGTCGCCCTGCCCCCCCCCCCAGCATATTATTTTTGCGACTCAACCATGCCATTGCATAAATCCATAGTTGGTTCCCTTTTACCGCTGCATAATCTTGCATTAATAAATTTACCGTTTACTTATACATTCTTCTTTTGATGGACACCTGACTTATTTCTAGTTTTTTGCTATTGTGGATAAAGCTACTGTGATCATTCTTGCACAAGGCTTTTTGTGTATTATGTTTTCATTTCTCTTAGATAAATACCTAGGAATAAAATAGTTCCTAGAATAGGTGCCTGTTTAACCTTTAAGAAACTGAAACAGTTCTTGAAGTGATTATACAGACTATACACGTCCTGGGTGCTGGGACGAGATTGTGTTCAACTCGGTTCTCTGGTGTTCGGCCCAGTGCAGGGCACGCACTAGGCTCTCAATGCTTATTGAAGAATGAATGGATGAGAGGCTCGAACCAGTTTTTATTTTGACATGTCCCCAACTAATCAACAAAGAATGAATGCTTTATCATCAAAGGGATGAAAAGTGGCTAAATGTGGACTCATTCTAGGCAGGCAAAAGTCAGGGGCAGTATGGCTCCCTTCCCCCTGCTCCTGGGGCTGAATTTCTTATTTCAGGGCAGCAATATGTGCAGATGAAGCCGAGTATGTAGACTTACAGGGGACCCAAGGAGGGCCCTGATCACCGGTAGCTGCCAGGCTTACCCCTAGAGTTAAAACTCCCAACACTGCCATTCAAGATCCTTCATAGCCTACCTTCCCAGCACCCATCCCTTTATTCATCTTCGTAAACTCATTGCAGCCAAACTTGACAAATCTTTTTTTCCCCCCTACAGCATCAAACTCCACCTGGAATACCTCCACAGGAGGCATCTCCTCCTTAAATATCCTGGTCAGCCTTTAAGACTCAGGTCAGATGCTGTCTCTCTGAAGTCTGTCCTGGTCACCACATCTGGAAACTCTCCCTCTGGAGGGCCTCTGACGTGGTGTCCAGCAGGGGGCAGTATCATTAGCCAGTGAGCAGGATGTCCTGTTTTCATTGTAATTGTCTGGGTTTGCATCTTCCTCCTCTATGAGGGAATAGGCTTTTTCAGGGCAGCGTGCTTTGTGGCCCTCAGCAGTCTGGAAGGAACGGGGGCCGCTGGTCACTAAGGAAGTAGCTGAGACTACATTTCATGATCCTTTCTTTTGCTGGCCGACTCCACCAAGGCAGGGGTGGGGAACTGTTTTACTGCCAAGGGCCATTTGGATATTTAGAACATCATTCGCAGGCCATACAAAATTATTTTGGGTCAAACATTTAAGTAGCTCACTTCTAATGCCTTGGCAGGTACAGAGCCTTATCTGGCCTGCGAGCTGAACGTTCCCCACCCCTGCACTAAAGAAAGGTTAAGCTATATGGTAATGCTATGGCTCCTTGAGAAGAGGAGGAGGATAGTGTGCCAACTGGGGATTTGTATCTGCTGGTAGATAATTAAAGGGAAATTAGCAAGTTGCTTTAGGCTCAAGTGTTAGTCACAGGTCACATGTCAGAAAGCACAGATATTAACAAGTAGAGGAGCTTCATGTGACATGTGTATGCATAAGACAATTTAAAATTGGGAGAGATGGCTCTAAGGAGTAGAGCAGTTTAGTGTGTGATGCATATGTTCTCTTTTAATTGCTCTTTTGGTAAAGCCCCAATTTTGCCTCTGCTCTGCAAACTGCCTACTTCTATAATTGTATAATTTATAAAAATACTTATTTTAAATGTAACTTTCAGAAATATACTCTGATAACAAACATTAATGTGAAAAGAAGGCCAAGGGTGTGAAAACCTGCATTGAAGAAAACATTTTCTGTATATGTTGTACTTTTAAAATTACCATCATTTTTGAGTGGCATAAACTCAAGGCTTCAGTTGGAAATGATATTTCAGGGTTTGGCATCTTGGCAAATGTTATTTCACAAATAAGAATTATAAGCCCTAACCAGATTGGCTCAGTGGATAGAGTGCTGGCCCTCATACTGAAGGGTCCTGGATTTGATTCCGGTTAAGGGCATGTACCTAGGTTGCAGGCTCGATCCTAGGCTCTGGTCAAGGCATGTGCAGGAGGCAACCAATCTATGTGTCTCTCTCACATCGATGTTTTTCTCTCTGTCTCTCCCCCTCCCTTCCACTCTCTCTAAAAAAAAAATCAATGAAAAATATATTCTCAAGTGAGGAT